CAAAAAAAAAAAAAAAGGAAAAAAAAAAAAAAAAAGGTTACATAGCCTGGACTGGCTGCTTCCCTTCTGTCCCTGAGGGCCAGGCGTGGTAACAGGGCAGGGCGAGGACTTGGTGGCGTCTGACTGAAGTCAGACTCTCCAGCCCTTACAGGAAGGGCATTTGCCTCAGAGGGGCACATAGCTCATCCCGAATTTAGACCATAAGTGGCTCCCGTGTTGAATCCTCATGACGACACAGTGCAGGATGGTTGTGAAGGTGACCACCGAGGTGAAGGCGGCAACAGGGGGACCCGCCCACCTCTGCCTGCTCCCAGAGCTGGGGCCGCTCTCCTGCAGTGGGGGGGCCTGGACAGGAGGGCAGTCGTGCTGCCTGCGGCCCTTGCTTGCCTGGGGCCCGTGCCTGCCTGCGGCCTTTGCTCGCCTGTGGCCTTCGCTTGCCTGCAGCCCGTGCCTGCCTGTGGCTGTACCTGCCTGTGGCCTTTGCTTGCCTGCGGCCCCGTGCCTGCCGCCCGTGCCTGCCTGCGGCCTTTGCTTGCCTGTGGCCTGTGCCTGCCTGCGGCTGTACCTGCCTGCGGCCTTTGCTTACCTGCGGCCTTTGCTTGCCTGGGGCCCGTGCCTGCCTGGGGCCCGTGCCTGGCTGCGGCCCTTGCTTGCCTGGGGCCCGTGCCTGCCTGGGGCCCGTGCCTGCCTGGGGCCCGTGCCTGGCTGCGGCCCTTGCTTGCCTGCGACCTGCCCCTCCCTCTTCAGGCCTTGCTAAGCATTAGGCACCTTGGAAGGGATTTCCCAGGGTCATTGCTCCCCTCCCACCCCACCCGGCCCCAGGAAGAGACTGGGACTGCTGCTATGGCAGGGAGCCGGCCTTCACCTGCGGGGCCTCCTGCCCAGTGCCCCCCCCAGCAGACAAGTGGGAGCCCCGAGGGGCAGCCTGAGGTCATACACCAGCGAGCAGTGTGTATGTGTGCATGGTGTGTGTGTGTATGAGTGTGTGGTATGTGAGTGTGTGTGTGTGGTATGTGAGTGTGTGTGTGTGATGTGTGTGTGTGTGGCGCGTGGGGTGTGTGTGGGAGGTGTATGGGGTGTGTGTGGCGTGTGGGGTGTGTTGTACTTGTGTTGAGTGTGAGAGTGTGTTTGGGGTGACTCTCCTGTCCTCACTCCCTGCCCCTTCCTCCTGTGGCATTCCCATGCCACATACTCCCAGTGAAGCAGCCTTGGGACCCTTGGGACTGAGGGTCCTGACTCCAAGCCCAGCCTCTGGCCCTCACTATTATGAGCCCTTCAGGACCTCAGTTTCCTCATCTGAGAAGTGGGAAGAAACATTGCCCAGCCTTGCCGGCAGTGTTCCTCTGGAAAACCCAGACGGAAACAGTAGGCCTCCCTCTCCTGGGGCAGGACCTCAGGGCTCGTCTGTGGGGACAGTGTGCACCTTGGGACCAGGCCGCCCTGGGCTTGAGCCTGAATTCTGTGTGTCCTCAGATGGGGACTCAGTCTCCCTGAGTGCAGCGAGTGAGCTGCAGAACTGGGGTTTCCAGGGGGTTGCCTGGGACAACCTGCTCATCGTAGGACCTATAAATTGTTCACATAGTTCCCGAAGGGTGACGCCAGCCAGAGGACAGTGAGAGACACAGGCCACCAGCCCCACAGACCAGGGCCTTTACTGCTCTTTGTTTTAATTTTTATAATCTGTATCCATCCATCTTCCCAGAAGACTCACGTCAGTTTGATGATTTAAAATTAAGAGGAAGAGGCCACAAAGAAAGTTGAGAAGTGGGATGTGGGGCCAACTAGGTGATTGTGCCTGGAACGTGGGAGGAGCCAGTCACTGAGCTGGGTCCCCAGTTCACCCCTGGATTCCCGGCAGCCAGGGTGGGGGAGGGGCACCTGCTGCGTCCCTGGGAGGCGGCCACGGGCGGCTCAGCATCTGGGGGTAACCAGGCTGGGGTCCCGCTACAGTGACCCCGTACTCGTCCATCGACACGTGGCCAGGCCGGCGGAGTGGAGGCATGATTGTCATCACTTCCATCCTGGGCTCCCTGCCATTCTTCCTGCTCCTGGGCTTTGCTGGTGCCATCGTCCTCAGCCTGGCGTGAGTACCTGCCAGCTGGGAGGTCCTCTAAGCCTGGGGGGCAGGGGAGCTAACTTCCACCCTGGGCGGTGGGGGTGTCCGGTGAAGCGGAGCAGAGCTCTGGGATTTCCAAGCTGGAGGGCTTTCAAGGTCAAGTCCTTCAACTGGGGCGAGGAGCTCAGCACCTGGGCTAAGTGAGCGTCAGCAGATTCGGATCTTGGCTCTGATGCTTAGTTGTGCAACCTTGGACACGGTGTATTATCCTTCCATTCCTCGGTTTCCTCATCTGGAATATTATTCACCCCATGGAGTCGTGAAGGTTAAGTGAAATTATCCCTATAAAGTCCTCAGGGCAGTGCCTGGGAACTCAACAAATATGTTTTTGTCACTATTACAATTCACTCGAGGTACAGATGGGGAAACTGAGGCCTGGGGTGGGGGACGGGGAGGGTGACCAAAGCCACACAGCCTAGGACTGGAACCCAGATCTTCTGACTCCACGAACACCTCTGGTTTGCCTCTGCTTTGACATAGAACGCGAGGTCTCCCGTGGGCTGTCCTTGAGCCGCTGCCAGGTGTGAAGGCAGGCGAGCTCACACTAGGACCTGCAGGACCGAGCGGGGCATGAGGAGGCCAGAGCACACCCTGCCCGGAGCTTCAGGGTGGGCTTCCTGGAGGAAGGATCAGCGTGGGCAAACCCTCATCAGGACAGGGATGACTCAGTCACGTGCGGGGTGCTCCTGAGTGAAAGGGAGGGGGCCCCACGGGGCTTTGAAGACCGAGAGGGGACCCAGTGGGGGTGAGGGGAGCAGATGGAAAAGCTTCCTGCAGTAGGTGTCGTTAAGTGCATACTTGGTGACTGGCCAGGCAGGAAAAGTAATGCAGTGGGGGAGGGGACAGTGACCTTGGAAATCAGGCTGTTCTCTGACATTCAAGTTAATAAAAACAGAAATAATAGATGACATCAGCCACCAAGAGACTCCTCTGCCTGGCAGAACCTGGTAGCGATCCGAACACGGTTATGTCCCTCCCTCCGTTTGGGCAGCGCACTATTCTGACACCAAGGCCCTGTCATCTGAATAGCCTCACTCTTCAGTTTATCCTTTCTACCACCCCACCCTGTCACCAAACTGCCCACCGTTGCCGCAGATGCCCCCCGGCCCTCCTACCTCACGCCTGCCTGTTCACCCCACGCCTGGAATGCCTCTCTGCCCCTGACACTCCTCTTTTAAGACCAGATTAGCTGCCCCGTCATCCAGTGCCTTCTTGTGGCTGTCACCTGGATTTGTCCCTTTGGGGTGGTCATTGTTTCGGTCTATCTCCCCATACAATCTTGGCTCTCTGGAGACACGAGAAATGGCCTCAAATTGTCCAGCTCACAGTAAGACCTACAAATGGTTTGTTCACATAGTTCCAAAAGGGTGACACTCCTTATTCCCAGGGCCTGGCACGTGGTCAGTGCTCCAGAAAGATCGGTGGGTTGGATAAATGCCTAAGACAACATCCGTGAAAGCAATGTTCAAGTGTGAAGGCCTCCGACCGCTAAGGGAGTTTGGGTTTCCCTGCTCCTGTAATCCTGCTCTCTCCACCCCCTTGGCCAGGGACATGAGGAGTTCCGATGGGGAAATGACGCACGACTCCCAGATCACGCAGGAGGCTCTCCCCAACACACTGGGGACCTCGGAGCCTTCTTATACGTCTGTGAACCGGGGGCCGCCCCTGGACAGGGCCGAGGTGTATTCCAGCAAGCTCCAGGACTGAGCCGAGCACCACCCCCGGGCGACAGCATCCTCCCCGCTGGCAGGGATTTTGTGGGTTTTGCAGCAGCTGGCATTCATGCCCTGACTGGACAGGAGGTGAAACACGGTGTGTTGGTCCAAGTGCAGAAAAACTCTTAATAAAATCTTCCCAAGATTTTGAGTTCAGTAATTTACAGAATGAATGAGTAGGTAAATGAATGAATGAACTGATGTCATATTGAGGGGCTAGATTGTTTTTCAAGAAGGTAAAAGCTGTGGTGCTGAGGGCTGAGTTGGAACCCAGGGCTCACTTGACACCCTGGCCCTGAGTCTAGGTCTCGTCTGCCAAATGGGCTGGCGGAAAAGGTTAGTTTCCAAGGTCATGCTCACCTGTGTTCCCTCACTGCTTCCCTGAGGACCCCTCCGGCTGGGATACAGGGAAGGGCTGGCTCCTCCTGGCCCCTCAGTGAGCTTCCAGTCCAGCAGGAAGACAAGGGACGGGTGACTCAGACACAATACATGTGAGATAAACACCATAGTGGGCAGAAGATTCATGTCACACAGGAGGGGTGCCAAGTCTGCTGGGGAAGGGTGAAGGGCTGCCCCAGTCCAGGGACTCAATTCAAAGACTCAATTCTCTCTTCTGAGCCAGGTGGAAGGACTGCTTCCCCTTTTGGGGTGTACAAAAGTCACAGTGCCACTTCCTGATACTGAAAGAAGATATTTGTCAGAGCGGGGTTAGTTTAAGCAGAAATGCCACCTAACAGCTGCAAGGAAGTCTGCCCTAGCAGGCTGGCAGGTGTCTGAGTGAGCCAGACTCTCCCTCCAGGGCCACCGTTATGGTCTGAATGTCTGTGTTCCCCCAAATTCACGTGTTGAAATCCTAACCCTCAGGCTGGCCAATGTCAGTTGTTAGAGTGTGGTGCTGTAACACCAGGTCAAGGGTTCAGATCCCCGTACCAGCCAGCTGCCAAAAAAAAAAAAAAAAAAAGAGAAATCCTAACCCTCAATGTGGTGGTATTAGGAGGTGGGGCCTTAGGATGGTGATGAGGTCATGAGGGTGGAGTCCTCATGAATGGGTTCAGTGCCCTTAGGAGAGACACCCCAGGGAGCTCTCTCACCCTCTTTCTGTGATAATGTGTCGAGAAGTTGCAGTCTGCAACCTGGGAGAGGGCTGTGTTAGGCCGTTTTCTATTGCTCATAACAGAATACCTGAAACTGGGTAATTCATAAATAAGTGAAATTTATTCTCCCAGTTTTGGAGGCTGGGAAGTCCAAGGTCTAGGGGGTGCATCCGGTGAGGGCCGTCTGCCTGGTGGGGACACTCTGCAGAGTCCCGAGGTGATGCAGGTTATCACGTGGCAAGAATGGCAGGCGCATTTTTACCTGCTCTCCTTATGAAGCCACGGGTCCACACCCGTGGTAACCCACAAAACCATTAACCCATTAATCCATGAATGGATTAACCCATTCTTGAGGACATAGTCCTCATGATCCAATTACCTCAAAGGCCCTGCCTTTCAAATGCCATATTGGGGATTAGGTTCCAACATGAGCCTGGGGGGACATTCAAACCACAGCAAGGGCCCTCCCCAGAAACCATGCTGACACCCTGATCTCAGACTTGCGGCCTCCGCAACTGTGAGAAGTAAATTTCTCCCAGTCTACAGTACTTTTTTATAGCAGTCTGAACTGACCCAAACAGGGATGGATTCTGAGACAGGCAGCACATCCCTTAAAGAGGCAGAAGCCCTGGAAAGAACTTAAAGGCAGGGAGGGGTCTGCAAAAGCCAGAGCAGAGTCAGTTAGGGTGGGAGGAATAGCGGGTGCTCAGAGGAGCCGAGTCCCTGGGCAGTGGGAACAGGAGGAGGGAGTGGTGGGTGCTGATCCTGAGAGGGCACCTGGCTGGATGTGCCCTGGACACCCTGATCCCTCGAGATCATCTCCTAGGCCCCCTGAGGCTGGCCTCGGCAGCCACTGGAATTCACACTTCCTCCATCCCCGAGTATCCTCACAGAACCCTCCTTTCTTCAGGGGAGATCTTCTAGCTCTTCTCCCTAAGAATCCCTGCAGCAGCAGAGAGGAAGGGCAGAGCTGCTTTGAAGTCTGCCACTGTCAGAAGTTCATGCAAATTTTGCATTCACATGTCTGTGTTTATTTATTTTGTAATTGAGGCGAAATTCCCATAACATAAAATTAACCTTTTTTTTTTTTTTTTTTTTTTTGTCTTTTGTCTTTTTCCATGTCCGGCAACGGATCGCAACCCTCAGTGTTGCCCCCGTACCGGACCAGGGACCGGCAACGGGATTGCAACCCTCGGTGTTGCTCCCGCGCCTCGCTCAGCCAGTGAGCGGGAACCGGCCTGTATGCGGGATCCGAACCCTCGGGCAGGAGCACCACCGCGATTCCCAAGCGGCGCACCATCCAGTGCGCCACCGGGCCGGCCCCAAAATTAACCATTTTAAAGTGAACAGTTCCGTGGCATATAGTCCATTCGCAATGTTATGCAAACACCACCTCTGTCTGGTTTCAAAATATTTCATCTCCGCAAAAGGAAACCCATACCTATTAAGCAGCCACTTCTTATCTCTCGTCCCCCTAACCCCTGCAACCACCAATCTGCGTTCTGTCTCCATGGATTTACCTATTCTGGATGTTTATGTAGGGGGAGTCCCACTTGTACAGCATGTGGCCATCTGTGTCTGCCTTCTTTGACTGAGCATAATGTTTTCTTTTTTTTTTTTTTAAAAGATGACCAGTAAGGGGATCTTAACCCTTGACTTGGTGTTGTCAGCACCACGCTCAGCCAGTGAGCGAACCGGCCATCCCTATATGGGATCCGAACCCGTGGCCTTGGTGTTATCAGCACCGCACTCTCCCGAGTGAGCCACAGGCCCGGCCCTGAGCATAATGTTTTCAAGGTTCATTCGCAATGTATGACGTATCAGTGCTTCCTTCCTTTTCATGGGTGAATAATATTCCATTGTATGGATAGATCCCATTTTACCATTTATTGGGTTTGTTTTGTTTTGGGGTGTTTTTTGCAGCTGGCCAGTACAGGGATCTGAACCCTTGACCTTGGTGTTATGAGCACCACGCTCTCCCACGTGACCCATGATATTATTTATTATTTGACTGACATTTGGGCTGTTTCCACCTTTTGGCTATCATGAATAGTGCTGCCATGGATGTTTTCTCGAATGCTTGTTTTCAATGCTTTCGGATATATGCCCAGGAGTGGCACTGCTAGATCATATGGCAATTCTGTCCTTAACTTTCTGAGGAACCACCAAGCTGTTTTCCACAGCGGCTGCACTGTTCCCACCAGCAGGGTAGCCTGTATTTACCTTAATGTTAAAATAATGTTTCAGCTCGCTCATACTGGAGTAAACTGGTTGCTGTGGAAGGCTCCATATGTATCCTATGGATTTGAGGATCTTGGTTTGTATCCATTCCCCATTTTGAAAAGCAGGTCCTCCAGGTCACCTGAGCCCCCTCTCCTTAGCAGCAACTACCCTGTCATTCGAGGGGTTGGTTAGTGGCAGCTCTCTCTCTGTGGGCCTGGCTAGTCAAGGCCCCAGGGAACATGAACTTGTAGCAACTGAGAGGCCTTAGCAACAGCTCATGACACAAAAGCTAAAGGGACCAAATTGACTGAACACAGATGAACAAACGTGTCGGGGCTGGGAGTAAGAGCAAATGAGCGGTCGCTTGTCCGTTCGCTCAGGCAGGACTCAGCAACCTGAGGACGAGTCTCTAGTCTGCCCACAGGGTGCCGGCCCCTCCCCTCTTCTGTCCCCAGTGAGACTCTGTAGACTTTCTGTTGCTTGTAACAGAATACCTGAAACTGGGTGATTTATAAAGAAATAGGGGCTGGCCGGTTTGCTCAGCTGGTTAGAGCACAGCTTTGTAACACCAAGGTCAAGGGCTTGCCCATTTAACCATCAGTGAATTAATCCATTCATGAGGGCGCAGTCCTCATGATCTAATCACCTCTTAAAGGCCTCATCTTTCAATTACCATAACAAGATTTTTTTTTTTTTTTTTAAAGATGACCGGTAAGGGGATCTTAACCCTTGACTTGGTGTTGTCAGCACCACACTCTCCCAAGTGAGCTACCCGGCCATTGCTATGCAGGGATCCGAACCCGTGGCCTTGGTGTTATCAGCACCGCACTCTCCCAAGTGAGCCACGGGCCGGCCTTACAGGTAATCTTTAGAAAAAAAAAAAAAAGAACCATGCCCATAACCACCCATTTAACCATCAGTGAATTAATCCATTCATGAGGGCGCAGTCCTCATGATCTAATCACCTCTTAAAGGCCTCATCTTTCAATTACCATAACAAGATTTTTTTTTTTTTTTTTAAAGATGACCGGTAAGGGGATCTTAACCCTTGACTTGGTGTTGTCAGCACCACACTCTCCCAAGTGAGCTACCCGGCCATTGCTATGCAGGGATCCGAACCCGTGGCCTTGGTGTTATCAGCACCGCACTCTCCCGAGTGAGCCATGGGCCGGCCCTATCATAACAGGATTTCCCACCCTCTTAACACTGATACCGTGGGGGTTAAGTTTCCAATACATGAACTTTTGTAGGACACATTTAACCCACAGCGGTGAGCTACTTCACCTCTTGCAGCCCCAGTTTCCTCATTTGTAAAGCAGGGGCATAAATGGAACCCACCCACCGTGTGGTCTGCAGGTAAGATGGGACGGTGCATGTCGACTGTTACTGTCCTCCCCGCTCAGCGCCCCTTGCTCTGTCTGTACTGTGATTGTCTATGGCAGTGTCTAGACTAAGCTCCTGGAGGGCAGGTAAAGGTCGGTCCCTTCCTTCCCTCCCCCCCCCAGCATGTGCAGGGGAGGAAGGAGTTTGGCAGTAACAGGCATGCACATCACCATTTCCTGGACACCTGCTATGTGCTTGTGGGAATGACACAGCTAGTGGCAGGAACAATATTTTGCCATATTCAAGGTCAGCAAGAGGATGCATCCTGGTGGCCGAGGGGGAGAGTAGAGGGAGACGAGATCAGAGGTGGGAGAGGCCTGGGGGCCACTGTGGGGAGGCTGTATTTTACTGTGGGCATACTGGGAAGCCTCCTGGCTGCTGTGTGAAGGACGGACCGGGGACAGCAGGTGTGGAGGGCTCACACTGGGGGATGAGGGGTGCACAG